CCTACCTACCTACCTACCTACCTACCTACCTACCTACCTACCTACCTACCTACCTACCTACCTACCTACCTACCTACCTACCTAACCCTAACCCTAACCCTAACCCTAACCCTAACCCTAACCCTAACCCTAACCCTAACCCTAGCTGATGCCTCATCAACCCTAGCCCCACTCCATTTCTCCCCACCGACCACCACTCACTCCACTTGCCACTCTCTGCCCCCTTGCCACCCCGTCTCATCCCATCCTTGTTCCACATCCACTTTCCCACCCACCTCACCATACTCATCCCTTACCCCACCATGCGCATGGCTGTGCATGGGCCTGAATTGAGTCTTTGATGCTGATTAACAATCCCCAGCCCCCCATTGACACTTGCCCGTGTCACACGTTCGGCCGAGTCGCATGTGCGGGTTGGTGGGTGACATGAATGTCATTCAACATTTTCATGATTCGCTACTCGTCACTCGTTTGATTGTTTGACATTCAATGGATTATCATTGATCATTGTCAATTGAATATCTGATTGTCTCTGCTTCTCTTGTTGTTGGCTATCCATGTTCCTTGTTCGTTGCCGTTTATGTTTCTACATGCTTTGTTGTTGCTATTGTCGGCCTTCATGTTCTGCTTTGTTTGCTTTTGCCTGTTATGGTTGACCGTAATCGGCATGCATCCTCATTGATCATTGCCTTTGCTCTTGTTGTTGCTTTTTATCATTATTCGTCATGCTTCAATTGTTCTTTATTCTCCTGTTTTCATTGACCTTGACTTCCACATCCACCATCGGGCCTTGCTCACTACACTATCGATTCTCATCTTTGTTGTCGTTTGTCGTGGTCAATAGTTGTGCATGCAATGTATTTTGTGGTGACTCTATTGTATCTTGGTGGTGGTTGATCTGCAGATCTGATCGATCAACCGCGCCCTGCCTCATCGACCTGAACGTCACCCAAGTTCATCCCATTGCCTGCCAGCCTTACTCAGCCCCTGTTGGCTTTCTCATATGTGTGTTGCAAATGCTATGTATGATCTGTGGTTGTTGTTGTGGACGTCATTGCCTCGTTTGATGCCCGTTCCGGCTTTTCCTCAATTAATTTAACGTTCAACTCAATTAACGTCCGCCGCCTTCCCTCTGCCGGCCAAGTACCCGCTGCCCCTATCGCCCACACCCCACACACACCCATCAGTCGTATCATACTCACCTTCATCAATGCTCAAGCCCAATCGCCATACCTACTACCATTTCGCCCGTCACGACCCC